AATGCAGATACTTGGGTCCTGACTCCTGAGCCAGTGATCCCGGCACCTGTATCTTTTTCCACTATCATCTTTCGGGTAGGGATAGAAAAGGAAAACGGACGACTAATATAATATCTTTTTATATATATACTCTCGCTCCTTTTTTTTAAGGTATAGGGATAGAAATGGAAAACTAACCAAATTTTTTGTTTTACACGTAAAAGAGTCTGAGTCATGTGAATTAGACTAGGATTCTTTGTGTGGTTTAATATTAAGGAAGGAAGGATTTGTCCTATTTTTATTCTTTTCTATTTGAATTAGGATTCATATTTAGGAAAGATTTGTCTTATGTTTATTCTTTTCTATTTGAATTAGGGTTCTTATTTAGAATCACTGTTCATCTAAACGGCCGTTTAGCCCGTTTAAACGTTACATGGTGGTACACCGTTTTCGTTTAATCGGATGTTTTGACCGTTTAAACGGCCGTTTTTCTCGTTTAAACACCCGTTTTGCCCGAATAATGGGCTAAATGGTAGGTGACCGACTGTTTACCGTTTAGCGTTTAGGATAACACTGTTTAGAATAGATGTATATGTTTGAATTATGATTCCTAGCTATTCAGATTACCTTAAGAGTCTAGCTCATGTGAATTAGGATTCTTTTGTGGTTTAATATTAAGGAAAGATTTGTCTTATTTTTATTCTTTTCTATTTAAATTAGGATTTCCTATTCAAGAAAGATTTGTCTTATTTTTATTCTTTTCTATTTGATTTAAGATTCCTATTCAAATTATTTAGAATAGATATATCTATTTGATTAGGATTACTATTCAGGTTACCTTAAAACTTATATCAAAGTTATACATATATGTCATGTAAAATAGAAGAGATGTAGATAGAAAAGAGATAGTAACGTATAGACATATTTGCTAGTTATTCAAAATTATAAAAGGTTTTATTTTTCTAAAACATTGCTTTTACTATATTAATGTAACAAAAAAGCCAAAACATATTATAATTTATAATGAAAGAAGTATATTTCTGGATACAGTTAGAAAACGTCGAGATCAAAAGAAAAAGGAAAAAATATATATTACCTCCTTAAACTATCCTCGAAGTCTAGTTTTTCTTCCTGAGCTTTAAAACCAGGTAAACCACCTCCACAACTTTTTAAACCATTCACTTTACCTCCGGACTCAACTATATGTGGTTTTCAAAGACGGTTTTGTCTTTTCAGTTTAAAAATAAATCCAATAAATATCTAATGAGATCTTTAAACCATGAAAAATTAGCTTGTTCGTTTGATCGTATTTGACTTATAAGCCATGGCTTTTCAGCCAACGAACAATATTTTTCTCTCACACCAAACCAGCAACAAGTATTTATAAGCCAAACCAGCCCAAACGAACTGGGCGAATATCTCTAAGCGTCTAAAAATTCTGAGAAAAATACTAAAGATGGATTAGGACACCAGAAACCCAAATAATATATTTATATCTTGTGAAAATATAATCCAACATCAATATTTTTTTTATAATTTTTAGAAGCTTAGAGATATTTTTCGTGGTTTAAAAGCCTCATTCGGTATTTACTAGATTTATTTAAAAACTAAGGCTCTGTTCGCTTCTTTTATAATCCGTCTTTTTCAGCTTGTTTTTTCAGCCGGAACAGTGTTTTTTCTCACAACAAATCAGCCGAAACAGTGTTTTGGTTTGTTTTTTCAGCGAAGCAAACGGAGCCTAAAAAGGCATAACCGCCTTTGAAAACCACCTATAACTGAGTTAGGGAGGTAAAATGAACGGTATTAAAATTGAGGGAGGTGGTTTACACGGTTTTGGAGTTCAGGAGAAAAACTAGACTTAGAAGATAGTTTCAGCTAAAAAAAAGATTTAGAGAATAGTTCGAGGAGGTAAAATGGAATCTTTATTATAAAGTAAAATTAGAACATGCGAGCGTACGTGAACAAATAAATGTGGACAAAAAAGCCAAAAAAATTAAGTCATAATCACGTAAATTCACTGCACGCAACGTGCGTTGGATTCATCATGTCAGGGCTCCTCTATGAGCTCTTGCTTTGGTTGGATTCATCTTCGTGGCTTGTTCACAATGGAAGAAAGCGATCTCATAATGTTACGAGTGAGCTATCGCCGTTACGGCAACAGATACGCTGTGGTCTTTCCGCTTCGCGCGTATCCCCGCACCATGCCTCGCCTGCTCTGCCTCCTTGGTGCCTGCGGGAAAGGCGTCGAAGCATGCGGGCGACAACGCCGGAGGCGAGGCGCTATGCGCGTTGGCCTTTTCCGACCCTATCTATCTCCACTGCCTCCGCCTCCCTACATGTTCCGTACGCCCGTACAACATCTTGGAAAAGATGGCAGATTCCTGCTTGTGCTGCGGCTGGGATAAACAAGAGGCCGGGCGTCGATCCCCTCACACTCGTGCAGGTGAAGTGATCATCATAGCGAAGTGGTTTCAATTTGAGCCTCTTCGGCTGGGCTTATATGATCGTATCGATCGTGGATTATAAGCTGGAACAGTATTTTTTTTCTCACACTAAACTAGCCAACAGTACTTTTGGCTTATAATCCACAATCGTTTCAGCCGAAACGCTTGGCCTGATGGCCTCCCTAGACCCTACGAATATGCATGCCATGTGTTTGACGAAATGGACATATGAGTCCTCATTTTTATTTCATATAAGTTTAGAGCTCCCTCAGCATATCCTGTCTCACGATTTTGCTTTCTCCTTGGACTGGAGACACCATCTTTGATAACCTCTTGCTTAATTTGATCGGCTGCTAATGACGGTTCGCTCCGGTGAGTCCACACTTCTGTCTTCTGTGCTTCGAGCCAAAATGCACATTCTTGCCACCTGTCACGCTACATGAGCAATCTGGCACCTCTTGTTCTCCATATTGAAATGATGGTAATAGGCAATTATGCACCATAGCGAACTTTGTATGGTATAAACCTTCCCGATTTTGCCAAATTACTTGGATATATTATCATATCAATTCCCCTAATTCGCAGCACTAATCATGCGCACCGAGTTGTATTGCAAATTATTGAGATCTATGTAGCAAGGGTTAGCTTATTTGAATAGACTTGTATTACGAATTATTGTGATGCATATAGTAAGTAGTTTTAGTGTTTACAGTATATACTAAAAGTACTTCTCCGGTCACTGTTTTGATGCATAGTTACTGTAACTGATTTACATTCAGCAAAAAAGGTCATTACATAGACAAAATTCATCATATGGGCTTTTAACAAAATAAATAAAGTCCTCTCTGAGTAGCATGTATAAGCCTGATAACTGAACCGGTAGCAGTTAGTAAATGTCTGTGATGCTGTTAAATCTTTTGGTCTTCAGAATGGAGCAAATGCAGGTGTTGCCTCTAATGCATCTATTTCTCTCATGCATTGCAGGCTGGCCCCGAGGGGGCAGAGCAGTCAAGTTTGCTGAAAGTAGGCCTTCAAGAAGTTTTCAGAACAGCAGGGTTCTATACTGTATCATTTAGCTTCCCCCTATTAAGGATGACATGAGTTACAGAGACATTGTAGCAGTCTATTCTGCAGGTAAAGAGTACTCTATATGCAATTATTTCAATGCAAGCAGTTCCTCATTTTCTGTGTATATTTGCGACCTCTCCAACAGCTACCTGAGTCGGTTCACAAAAGCTAAGCAAGGATGGGACACCTAGGATACATCTTTTGTTGTTTGTATTTCCTCACTGTTATGATGTCATCTAAGGAAGAGGAACAAGGTAGCATCCTGCTCAACCACTTACCCTTGATCGTAGAAGCTCTTGCACAATCTAAAAACTATATTTCGCTTTGCATCAAAGCTAGTCTATAAGCTTTATATTTGGCTATATATATTGCTTGTCTCGTAACTGAATCTTTGCATTTACAATACCAAATCTTTGATTCTCATATTGCTATAAGATAACTTAAAGCATACAATCCTGCTTTGCTGTTTTTGAAAAATTGCACGGTCATTTTTTAGAGCAACGGACTTGACCCTATCTTCCCCACCGATCATACATAAGTGTCAAATCTTATTCAAAGCATAAAAAATACAGTAATGGACTACTAACTATATTTGCAAAGCACGAATCACATAAATCATCTGTCCCGCTCTACGGATGGCCTATTGACATGTTGCGCGTGGCAAAGCTGTGGGATTTTCTCTAGTTTTATATTAAGTTCATTCACATCTACATTGTACAAGAGACATATATGATATAAGGAAACTTGTTCTACCTGACAGATGATTTTGTGTCAATGTTTTTCCCACTTGCATATCTTAACATGTTGTGCATGTTTGAATCTTGGAAAATTATATGCCAGCCTATATTTAAAAGGAAAAATAGGTTTAAATATGACTTTACTGTTGTTTTACTTTAATTAGATAGTGATCTTGTTTCCAGCAACATGTTTTTTTTTTCTGGTATTGAACTTTCACATATTTCGTTTCCCTTCATTTTGATCCTCCAGATTTTATACTCTGTAGCTTTTTTTTCTCTACTGCAGGAGTGCAAACTCGCTTATAACAGATTATGTACTTGTATTGTATTATTTCATTTGCTTTGGATTGTGAATTTTCTTCTCTCTTTTTGGGTGTCAAAATGAAAATGAATATAGCTGGAATAGTTTCAAACTACTTTTATAATGCCTGCAACTGTTTTCCTTCTTTTTTTGTCAATTCACCTAGAGATGTGCTTTGTGCTTCATAAAAGAGGTTGCACATATTCAAGTAAAATACCGAAAACAGTGCAAGCACAATACCTTATAAGAAATGTGCTAGCAGAACATCAGCAATCAATAGTAGGAAAAAACAAAGAAGATGACTGGAGAAATTTTAGTCAATAGCAGTACATAAGCGTATATTATTTGAGAAAAGTACTTAAGCATACACATAAACAGCCACACAATGAAGGCTAGAAATTATACTTCAATAGCTCTCATTCTGCTTAATGTTTCCACCTGTTGGGCAATTCCATTACGTAGAACGTCATCCTAGCACATGCTACACGATTCATCAGCTAAAAGGAGCATTTGCACTATAGATTCCATCGTTGGCCTTTTGCTTCTGTCTTCATCCACGCATGAGACAGCCAATTTGATTAGTGTTCTTACCTGCATGTAGTTGAATTGGCCACTCAGCCTGCAATCCACAACCTCGGCAATTGAAGAGGGTTCCTCTTTATCCAACGTAAGAGCTAGCATGGCTACATACTTCCTAAGCACCTTATGCACCTCCTCATTAGCACCTAGAGCCATGTCGAGAACTCGTCTTCCCAAGACTAGCTCAAGAAGCACAACCCCATAGCTATACACGTCAACCTTGGCCGTGATCTGGAGGCTGCTGATCCACTCTGGAGCTATGTAACCTATGGTTCCTCGAACTCTTGACACATTCTGGTTAGAGGAACCTCTGTTCAGCAGCTTCGCCAACCCAAAGTCAGCAATCTTAGGTTCTAGATTCCGATCCAAGAGTATGTTCTCTGGCTTCACATCACAGTGTATTACCCACTCAAGACATTCATGGTGAAGATAAGCCAAACCCTTTGCCACGCCTAACGCAATATTAAACCTCTGCCTCCACTCTAGCAGAATGTGGTCTTTGAATAGGACATTAGCTAATGATCCATTCTCAATATACTCGGTGACCAACATCCTGTGTGAGATTTCAGAGCAAACCCCCCATATCCTTACTAGATTCATATGATTAATCCTCCCAATTATGTGCAGTTCTGCTTGAAACTCCTCCTCGCATTGCCTTACGTTTTCCAGCATCTTAACAGCAACTGCTCGATTGTCATCCATGACTCCCTTGTAGACAATCCCTGAGCCTCCTTTTCCAAGCTCATCTTTGAACTTTCTTGTTGCTTTAACCAACTCTTTATAACTGTATCTTCTGAAATTACTGGTCAAGGCCTTGTAGCCTTCCTCAACTGCTTGTATTTCGGACGCTCCTAACTCCCATCTCAAAAACAAAGCACCATGCGGATGCAATGAAGAAGGCTTCAAGAACAAAAATTGAACCTGCAAACCCATAGAAGTAAAACCATTTTGTTTCCCCCTGGCTGGACTTGTGAATCTCCGGAAATAGTTCCATCGTTGATGCGCTCATCTGGCCACAGTCAGGATGTTGCTTTCTTGGTGAAATAAGCACATTGGTTTGGGGAACTGAAATACCTGAAATATTCACACCCACTGGTAGCTTGAGATACATCATGGGCGTCGATAGTGTAGGTGCCGTGTATGCCTTCCCATTATAAAGGAAAGCCTTTGGATAGCATGTCCCTGTTCCTTGCTGGTACTGAAAGCCTTTGCAGGTGCAGTCCTTCCTACATATGTTCTTGCAAGCCTGCAAGGATACATGCTCAACATGCTGCTGATCGGATCCCCAAAAGTCGGTGCCTGGAAGTCGCAAGAACTTGACAGGTTGCGCTTTCTTAGCAGTACAGACAATGTCTACTACAGGTCTACAGCCTTGGCTCCAATTACCAGGTTGGCTCATCACGTAACCTGGTGGGCAAGAGCATGTAGGTGTAGGAAAGTAGTGGCAGATCCCATTTGGACCACACAAGCCATGAATATTGCAAGGCTGAGACACTGCAATCCAGGAAACCGACCATCTGCCATCTGAATCATTCAAGCTGTATTGTCGGAGATTACCATCGGGGTCCAGAGTAAGCCTTCTTTTGATCCCAACACCTTCATCAGAGGCAACAAGTGGTTGCTGGTTGGCAAAATCACTTGAAAAAAATCTGCCAGTATCATCTATAAACGCAAGCCTTGTACTGTTATACCGATTCCTGTCATTCTGATACTCTCCGTTGTCAGGGTCTTGTTCGCCGAGTTGGCGTACCATATCGAGAAGGTGAAGGCGCTGTCATAGATGCTGTGGAAGCCGCAGACAAAAGTGCCTTCAGGCGATTGCAGAACGTCAGTCTGGTGCTCCTCGACAGAGAGCGAGGATCCCAGCAGTAGAGTGTCGCGAAGCGCGGCACTTGAGTGGAGGGGAAGCAGTGTAACCTTGCTTATGAATGATACATCCAAATTAGCACTCCTTCCCTTTTCTGTGCCAGTTTAAGATAATAAGTGTGCCCACTACTACTACAATGAAGAAATCATTATCAGAAAAATATGGCATGAAACATGAACTAAATTGTATCTTGCTAAGGGCATCAGCATGTCATACATTTGGGTGTAAGGAATCATACAACGAGATGAATGTCCGAAGTACTTAGGTAGGCCAACACGCTAAGATTCAGAAATTGCAAGATGCAATTTTCTACAAGCAATATAAGTTTAAATCTGAAAAAAAAAATCAATGGCTACTGCAACTGAGATGTTTTCATTTGGTCATTTCAAGTGTTTATTGGTCAAATGATTTTCAGAAAATGCCCAATATCCTGACATCTAGTTTTTACTTTAGAATAAGACCCAATAAGAGAAATAATGTAAAGCAGAAAAATCAAGCCAAACATGTGCAATCGTACCATTGTCTGCTATTTGTGCCTCTCAAACATCTGCCTTGATGCTTGAAGGAACGAAACAATAAGCATGTTCAAACATGATATACATCTCCTTTTTCCTCGTAAGAAGCTGATAGAGCATGTGTATGCGTGTTCAGTAAAGGAACTGTGAACCTTGCATTTTCCTTTAAAATGGTTCAGGCTTTCAGCGCATAACAAAATTTTGCTTCATATTGAGATTGAATGGTGTTCAAGTGCAAGATAAAGGCACCAATTACATGTGATGTTCTTACACCTGTCTAACACACCTTGTTAGCTTGCTCCACTGATTCGATCAAGCTAGAACCAGGAAGTTTTCTCGACCCATTTTCTTTTGCTCTATTCCTTATATTAGCTGATTTATTCCATTGTCCTTTCTGAGCAAATACCTCTGAAATCAAAGCATAAGTACCTGGATTCTGTTGTCCAAGCTCAAGGAGCTCATTGCTAATAACCTGCCCAAGCATTGTATTTCCATAAATTCTGCATGCAGAAAGTAAAGCACAAAGTACACTAGATTTGTCATTTAAGGTAGATAACTTTATGAGCTTGTATCCTTCTTCAAGATGCCCTGCTCGACTCAATAAATCAACAATGCAACCATAATGCTCTTCCTGTGGAAGAACTGAATATATTGAGGTCATTGACTGAAAAATATGCAAACCCTCCTTAATTAGACCAGCATGACTGCATGCAGAAAGCACTGAAGAAAATGTTAACCCATCAGGATTAATGTTTCCTTCTTCCATCAGCTTAAACATTTCAAGTACCTTAGTATAAAATCCATGCATCCCATAAGCGCTGATCATAGAATTCCATGAATCTAGATCTCTGTGTTCCAAACTTAAGAACAAACCTACTGATAAATCCAACCTTCCACATTTGGCATATGCAGTTATCAAAGAATTTATGGTCTTTGTATCTTTCTCCAACAAGGCACGGTAGACAAAACAATGAATTTGCTTTACATCTTTCAAATGTCCAAGCTTGGAAACAGCCTGAATTGCAGTCATAACAGTGACAGAATCAGGCTTATTGCCATGTTGCTGCATTAATAATTGAAATAATTCAACTGTTTCACCTCCATGTCCACAGAATAAGCATCCCATCATCATGGCGGTCCATGAAATTAAATTTTTCTTTTCCAATGAAGCAAATACAATCCTTGCTGATGTAATCTTTCCACAACCAGAATACATACGTATAATTTGATTTGCAATGTCGACATTGGCACAAAAACCATGTCTAATTGAAAGCCCATGAATCCACCTCCCTCTAACAAAATCTTTGTGATCAGCGATAGCTACAAGCAGACTAAGAATGGTCACAAAATTTGGTGCAACACATTCTGCCACCATTTCTTTGAGCAACACAATAGCTTCATTGGCCATGCCATTTTGGAGATAACCATAGATCATGGTGTTATAGGAGACTACATCTTTAACCACCAATTGATCAAAGAGATGCTTGGATCTCATAATTCTAGTGCATTTCAAGTATACCTCGATAAGAGCTGTGGCCAAAACTACATCTAGAGGAATACATCTTCTAATTAGGTAGGCATGAACACTAGCAGCATAGCCAGAATTGCATTGCTCAGCACAAGCAGATATTAAATTTGCATAGGTTACAGAATCTGGAACTACCTTATGCTCATGTAGCATGACAGAAAAATGGTGGATTGCATTTCCACTCTGTCCGGTTCGAACAAGACCAGCAAGCATTGCATTCCAGGAAGCCACAGATTGCACTGAATTCTTCAAGGCAGCAGATGCTAATTGGTAAGCTCCACATTGCATGTACAAGTGAACAAGGCTGGTCCCTAGAATTTCATCTGAGACACCAACACCTCTCCTTATTGAATAGCAATGTACCGATTTCCCTTCTCTGATTGCTCCCAGATTACCAGCAACTTGCAGTAAGCTAACCAGAGTCACACGGTTTACTTCCAAGTTGCTCCGCGACATGTCACTGGCAATTTCAAATACATTCCATGAAGTAGAATCCATATTTTCAGAATAACCAGTGATCATCGAGGTGTAAGAAACAATGTCCTTGTCGAGAATCTCTTCAAACGCCTTCTGTGAATCATCCATTCTGGCAAGCTTAGAGTATAACCCAACAAGAGAAGAACCAACGAATTTATCTCTACTGAGGCCAAGCTTCAGTGAGTCTGCATGCATTCCTTTGCCCAATAACAAATTTCGGAGCTCAGTGCAGCTCTTCAAGCCAAAAGTAACAGTTTTCTCATCCAAGCCAATCTGACGCAACTTCAATCCTCTGTACAAAAGAATAGCTTCCTCAGGATAACCAGCTCTAAAAATGTCAACCATGACTGAATTCCACTGGGCAAGATCATCATTTAAGAAGCCTTGGAAACAAAGTCTTGTCTTGCACAGGACACCTAAACTAGCATAACAAATCAGAATTTCAGAGCCAAGAATAACATCCCTGCCAAGTCCAAGTGTCAGAACGCGAGCATGGAGCTTCTTCAGAGACCTCACATCTGTGCAATTTTGGAACAGTAAAGCAAACTTATCAACATCACTTAGCCTATTACATCTAGAATTTGCACCAGCAATAAATCCTGATAGCCTCCTGCACAGCTTCAGCGCCATAACCATATCAGCTTTTGCAGCAACAGTCCTGGATAAATCTCTTATTGCTAGCATCCTCATGATTGCACACAGAAGGAAACAAGTAACTAGTAACCCTTAAATTGAACAACATAATGCCTTGTAGCACAGCTCCAATAATAGAGCATTCACCTGGACACAAATAAATGTGGAAGACTGCTAGTTAGTGGGCTGAAACATGACAACCTAAGACCAATATTAAGTTGCACCAAAAAATTAAACAAAGTTGACTGGCTAAGCAAAGGATAAGTTGACTGGCTAAGCAAAGGCTGTAATCTGGTGAGGATCCAGGAAAGGATATGTTGTCTCAAAGTCCAATGAGAGTATGAGACTGCAACTAGTGAGGACTGAGAATGAAGCAGGGGGCAGGCTCAAAATAAGGTAGTGTTTAGGGGCTTCCTTGGCAGCAGTAGCGGACCTACCAATAGGGCAAGGTAGGGCGGCCGCCCTATCTAACGCCGGTGATCAGACCCAATCGCCACTCCTTGGAAGTCCCGAGATCTCCAGCAGTCCAGCCTCTGGCAGTACTGGAACTTATAGAAACAAAATGTCTGCCATCGGCGCTGCTGGTTGGGGAAAAAAAAGTGAAGGGGTATAGGTTGATGGGCATGTTATCTCCATATGGGCCATCCTATTGTGGCTAAGAAACAGAGTTAGGCCCAATCAAGAGCTAACTGGATTGCTAAATTGATGGATCGCTGGAGACTTGGCATGTTGCAGTCTCCTACCATCGTGCATTCACGCTAGCACACCAGTTAACGCAAAGAGCTCAGCGTTTAAAAAAAAAACGCAGGAGCTCGGGGTTAGCCGCTTAGGTCCATTCAAGCGAAGCAGCCAATGAGCCAATGCTGACAGACAGGCACACGGTCGCACTGGAGAGAGTCGTGGCCGAGATGTGTGCACCAGTAGTCCAGTACAGAAAATATGCTTGTTGCTTGTGAATCATTAAGGCTCAAGAATAAACACTACGTGTTTAAAGAGGAATGCTTAGCTGATTCTTGTAAAGGACCCTTTTTACTTACTCTCAATGCATTATATATATGTGGCATGCTTTGAGATACAAAATTGGTTCCATTCAATCAGAATATATGCATGATAAGGAAACATGGTCATATATCTGATACCTTAAATTTTGTGCTGGGTCTGCCACTGCTTGGCAGGCCAACCACGGTGACAAGAAAGAATGTGGAGCTGTGGCAGTGGTGGTTTTTCTTCTTTCAGTCTACTGAGGTAGAACTTAGGATTCGACCTACATTGTTGGGAAGTTAAGATAATGACCTCTGATGGGCTTCAGAGATGATCTTGTTGGGATAGCAAAGGACCCTTTTTACTTACTAGAGCCCAGGTACTGAGCTACAAGGGGTCTGGGAACACTAGCACTAGGTTTGTATTCAGGGTTAAAGTAACCAGGCTAGCTAACCAGGCAGGATAGATTAGCCCAATTTTTGTGTTAGACAATGAATCTAGTTAGTCCCAAAAGCTATCTGTCTAGATTAGGTGATTAGCTACTGTGTTGGCAGCAAGAAAAACAGAATTCAGCATGGCCAATCCAACTATGGTGAATTGGCTTATCATAATCCTGAACTTGAGGGGAGCCTCTTGACTGCTTACAACGAAGTGAAAATGTTCCTCATTGATTGTCGTTAAATATAATTTTGACAATTGTGATGGTACACATTAGTAAATATAATTTGTCACTTGCGGAATGGGACAATAAA